GAACCCAAAATAAACTTTTCCTCCTCTGAAATTGTTTTTGTTGGGTCTGTTGGTCACAGTGATGACTGATTAACACAGTCCCCTACTGGTGATGGTGGTTCCCCTTACAAGTTCTTGACTACAATGATGCAAAAGCAATACACATTCAGTAGAAATAATCCTTTGAATTTTGAATTTTGATGTCTTCTCAGGTCAAGGATATGTGGTAAGATGCTGTCTTGTGGTAGAAGTGAGCCACAGCTCCCAGTCAACCACACAATCATGAGTGAAAAACAACTGAGATTCCACGTATATTGTATTGGTGAGCTCTGAGGTTTAGTAAAAGTTAAGTGTATCAAATGTATCATTGACTTGCAATATTTTCAATTTATGAAACCCTATTGGAATAAAAGCCCATTGTAAGTAAAGGAACCTCTGCATATCCAAAATCCCTACCACCTCCACTGCTTCCATCCAGGTTCAAGCTGCCATCTATCTTTCTCAGGGATTATTGTATCATTCCCCTAACCAACATCACTAATTCCATACTTGTTTCCCTGCACCATATTCTCCACACAGCCAGAAGGAGCTCTTCAAGATGCAAACCAGATCAAAACACTTATTTCCAAAACCCTTCCAGAACTCCCCATCATTCTTGGAATAAAATCCTTGATCCTTACTGGAGTCTACAAAGCTCTTTATCAGCTCCATCTAATAGCTTCCTGCAATGATGGCAATGTCCTGTTTCTGGTGCTATCCAAAATGGTAGCCATACATGGCGATTGAACACTTGAAACGTGGCTACAACAACTGAGAATCTGAACTTGAAATTTTACTCCACTCTGATTTAAATCTAAATAGCCACACATAGGTATTTACCTTTGACAGCACAACCTACACAATCTCCATGACTTTGCCTCCTAGCCCTTCCCCTTCTCTCCCTCGACTCAAGCCACATTGTCCTGCCCAAAGCTCCTCAAACATTTCCAGCACATTCTCACCTCATGGCCACTGCACTTCTCTTTATCTAGAATTTACTTTCAGACACTCAAATATTTTCCTCACTTCACTTTGGTCACATGTCATCTCTTCATAGAAATAATTTCTGAACTCTGCCCACTGAGACATCATCTCTTGCTCTCCATCTTCTTTGTCTTGCTTAAATTTTCATCTTGGCATTTATTACTACCTGACACTTGCTCATCACCCACCTCCACCATGAGCTGATAAGTTTCGGGAAGGCTGGGAGTCTGATTTTTTTGCAGTACTGTATCTCCTATGCTTAGCTGGTGATTTTGTCCTTAGTTAAATACATCCGTTAATGAAAGAGGCTTTTGCCACAAGTGAGCACCTCTGTGAAAAACTGTGGGCATACAGTAGAAACCCAAGACAGACAGCCATCCAGAAGTGAACTCAACTACAGCTGCTCACAACTGGCCCAAACTCTATAAGAGAAACTCCTCACTATCACCAGAGTCCACACGAATGAAGCTCTAATCCATTCACAATACCATTTGACAACCCGTGCAGCGTTTGTTCAATGTTCCTCTCTCTTGTCCACATTCTCTGTGCACCCCATCACATTTCATTTAAAATTTCTCATGATGGAGAGCAGGGAATCCTTTGGGCCTTGAATCATCAAAGCTGTTTTCTCCTTTTCAGTTTCACCTGCAATAAAACATATATTTGATCTCTGATTTCTGTCTATTTCTGCTCTGGAATCTGGAGCCGTGACTCACGGGCGCCTCAGAGACCTCCACACCTCCAGAATTGATTCAAAATGTCCCCTTTTCGGAAGCCTTCTCTGACTCCTGCAGACTCAGTGGCTCCCTCCTCTGGCTGCATGATTTTGCTCACATTTAACAAAGGGCTTAAGAGGTTGTCTGGGTTATCATGGCACCAGACAGCAAGTTTCTGTTGTGTCTGGCCTGTTCCTTATCTGTCTTCCCCAAATTTCAGCTCAGGACAGGCACCTAAACATAAGTGTCTAGAAAATCCAGGAAGAAACAGAAAGCCACAACTTCTGAGTCAGGGCAACGTAAAAGACTTCTGCCTGGTTTTATAGTGACCATGAGAGGCCTTTCCCAGAGGAGGGCAATTATAATAAAACAAAGGGAAACCTCTGCACCCCAGACTCCAACATACATCCCCAAGAAGCCCAAGCTTAAAACAGAGCTTTCTTTTTCCCTGGCCCTATCTTGGGAAACTGGGATTTTCCTCCTGTCCCTACCCCAACATCTCCACTAATGACTGACCCAGCTCAGCAGCTGACTAGGTCATTCCATTAGGTCACCAACTTTGGATGTAGGAAATTAGAAGCTACTACTAACACCCAACCATGATGGATCAAAAGACACCAACTACAAAAAGACGTATTAGACAAGTGGGTAATTTGAGTATGTAGAGAATTATTATTTTGTTAGTTTTGCTAGGGATAATATAGGCAAAGTCATATGTATTTGTCAGAAGTACACGCAAAAGAGGGCTGGGGATGTGGCTCAAGCGGCAGCACGCTCGCCCTGCATGCCTGTGGCCCAGGTTCGATCCTCAGCACCACATACAAAGATGTTGTGTCTGCCGAAGACTAAAAAATAAAATGTTAAAAATTAAAAACAAAAAAAGAAGTACATGCAAAAGAATTGGCAGATGAAATAATATATCTGGAATGTGCCTTAAAACACTTTAGGAAAAAAAAAGGATTGGGGGCAAGAGATAAAACAATATCGGGGGATATGTTGATAATTTTTGAAGTTAGGTGATAGATATGTAGAATTTGATTATTCTATTTTATATATGTCTGAAAATTTTTTATCAAACAAAAGCCAACCTCTTGGTCTCTACCCTCTTTGGGCTATAAATTGACAGTACCCCTTCAGGCCCCAGAGAGTCACCCCTTCAGCAGGTGTCCTGTGCTCTTTCTATGTGTCAGATCAATAAGGACCCACGGATCTATTAGAACGACAGGTTTATTAATAACTCTCAGATTGAGCTTTTTAAACAAAACAAGCCAGCAAGAATGTCAGTAAGCTTTAAATGAGGACAAGGTCATTCTGCAAAGGTCAAGGGATTAGGAGAGCCCAAGGGGGCCTGCGCCAGCCGAGGCCATGACCTTCATCACAGTGAGAGAATCTTCCTGCTGCAGAAACAGCCACATGAACTGAGGCTGATGAAAGCAGAGGCTCCAGGCCCTGGGCTCTGCTGACTGTGAGCAGAATGTGCCTCCCAGGGCCTAGCACCAGAGCCCAGACCAGCCGTGGGAGTAATTAAGCTAGGAAAGGTCATGGATTCATAATTTATGTCCAAAGGGCTCGATGTAATCATCATTCACCACTTCCCCCATTAGTGTCCACCTCAGTGGAAGGAAAGGGGCCACCTGAAGGCTTTCAGACGAGCAGACACCTGTTTCCCGCTTTGGGGCAGATCACTCTGTGGAGCTGAGGGCAGGTTCTGCTTGCCTGAGTCAAGGTGCTCAACCCGTGACCTATCGTCAAAGTCACAGTCCTGATTTTCACAGGAGTCATTAAGCCGTCATCAAATCCAAATCATAATCACATAGCTACAATTTATTGGCCACTTACTCTTTTTCTAGAAACAATTGAATTTAATTTTTCCAGCAATGATCATATTTAATTCTCTTGATAATTCCAAAAGGCGGCGCCACACTGTCCCCCATTTTATAGATGAGGAAACAGATGTTTGGGAAGGTTATGCGTATTAAATAAATTCTCTACCCCTAACCAACTCCAGGGCCCATCCTCTTAAACAATCTGTGTCTTGTCACCTGGAATTGTCTTGCACTGAACACAGGGTCGTCTAGCTCTCTGGGTGACAGTTAGTTCACTGTTGCCTTTGGTAAGATTTTATGAGAGCTGGCATCCGTGGTGTATGCCTGTAATCCCAGTGACTTGGGAGACGGAGGCAGGAAGATCACAAGATATACAAGGCCAGCCTGGGCGACCTAGTGAGGTGCTATCTCAAAGTAAAAATAAAAAGGGCTGGAAATGTAGCTCAATGGTAAAGAGCTTGCCATGTGTGAGGCCCTGGGCTCAATACCTACACACACACACACACACACACACACACACACACACACACACACACAGAGCACTTTGGGTGACCGTTAGCTTTCTTCTCTCTTGTACAGCACAGTGACCACTTGGCTGCTGCTACAGAGCTTGGGATAAATGTCAGAACCCTCATTTCCACTGCTCCTTTGGTGACCACTGACAGTCCCCACCCCTACTGGCTCCACCTTTACTGGGTTGGACCCAGGCAAGGTACCCATGGCCTGGCACTTGCTCTTTCTGGTGGAAGTGTGATAAGTCTCAGATACCCCGACTTACGGATGGGATCTGTAACTCCTTCTTCCTCGGTAGCTCTGAGGGTCTTTCCTTTGGTGGCCTACTGTGGCATGTCGAGGGAAAGCCAGGAAGAGGAGTTTTGTCTTCACTTAGGTGGGAGCACAGGTGGTGGATGAGCATCCCAGGAGCAGAATGTGGAGACAGCCGCAGAGCCAACAGCAGATCTGAGAGGAAGGGAGGGAAAGGAAACTGCACCACTGCTTCAAGGAAGAAGGTTCCAGGGCATGGAGAGGATCTGTCAGGAGCTGTCCTGCGGTGCTCTGGAGGACCCTAGTGCCAGTCCACAGAAGTCAGAGGGACGAGATGGGGCAGTGTCTCCTGGTCCTGGTGGTTGCCATCTATGGGAAGGATATGAACGTTTACCTGGGGGATCTTCAAGGCAGGAGTTCTCACCATGCGGCCAGATTTGAGGAATCCCAGGTAGAGGAAGACACGTTCCTTTCCCACTCTGTGCTCAGCATCACTTCCCTGTGCTTTTAGACACTTGATGATTTTTCCCCTTCTCTCCCTGGCAGGGAGGAATTGATTAAACTAAAAATAACTCCACTCCCCACCCCACAAACTTGGAAACACTCATCCCAGTTATTCCACCTAATTGAATTTTATTGAGCACGTACTAGGTAACAGACACTATATAGCAAAGGCTGGAAATGCCAGAGGAGGGGGGAAACAGACACAGTTTTGCCCTCCCCTTGCCTAGAGTCTTGTCTGATCCTGGAGATAGTTAAATTAGCAATTACCTAAAGCCTGAGGACATTTAAAACTGCAGAAATAAAGGGCTCTAGGGGGATCCAACCCAGATAAGGAAGCTGAAGCCCTCCTCCCAATAAAGATATCAAAACAGAAAAGGCTCAGCATTTGTGGCTTTGGCCTGGCCTGTGGGGGAACAAAAGGGCATCAGAATTGAGGGGGGCTCACGGGAGGGACTTTCATGGCCCAGGAACTCCCAGAAAAGCACTGCCCAAGTTCTTCTCATCATCTCTCTGCCTCCCCCCACCCCGGCACCTCCCAGGCTGAATGAAGCCACCACATGAAGCCACTGGGAGCCTCCCGGGACTCAGCATCTCACTCACCAACTCGTTGACAATTAGACCAGCTTCCAAAGAAAGCAGGCTGCCCATCCTTTGTTGTGCTGTTTGGCTCTAACAGTTTAGTCCAATGAACAATGAAGGTCTCCTGCCATCCCCGCCCTGCCCGCCCCCAGGTGAGCAACAGCTGTGAGGAAAACAATTGGTTTTTGGCAATTTTCACAGCACAGAATCATAAAGAATTGGACAGGAGAGAAGCCAGGCCAGCCAATCAGCCTCCTGCTGGGGCTGGAGCTTCCCCAGCACTGGAGCTGTGGCCTGGGGCCACCCCCAGGCCTGCTGCTATCCCCACAAGTGTCTAGGACTTCCAGGCCCCACCTGGGTAACTCCTGTCCCTGAGGCCACCTGCTGGAGCTGGAAGCTTAACCATTTTTCCTCTTCCTTCCTTGTTCTCCTCTCTTCCCTCTCCTCCTCCATTCCTGGGTGGGACCCCATCAGCCACCATGGATTCAGCTCATCAGTCAGGGGGCTACTCCACGACCCGGTGTGAAGAAGCCCACTTGGGAGCAGAAGCCTCCTTGGGCCCTGGGCCCCCTCCATGATTTTCTGGGCAGATTTTAAACATGCCCCTCTCCAACCTACAGAGGCTGCTGAGGTCCCCTGACAGCTCAGTAGTCACCCAGGGGGAGAGGTAACCAGGAATCTATCATGTGCTTTCAGGAGCATGGCTGAGAACCCTCTGGTGGCATGTGTCTGAATGTGCTAATGCCTCTGTGTGTGTGAGAGAGAGAGAGCGCGTGTGTAGGGGGAATAATTACTCAGAATGAAACAAAATATGTTACCATTGAGTTTGCTGCTATTCCTACCAGCAGCCTAAACAAACAGCATCACCCGCCCACAGCCCTGGTACCTGGCCTCAGCACGGGCTAGCTCTTCAATCCCCCTATTACCAGGACAATAGCCAGGGTCCCTAGGATGGCAGGTCACTGCCACATTACTTGAAGGGTAGGCCGCCTCATAGGCTCCTGGCTTCCTCCCTTTGAAACGTCACTGATGTCATGTCTAAGGCTAAACTCTCCCTCTCCTCCCTCCACATCCCTCTGTTCTCGGCCACTCTCCCAGCTTCCAGACACTTTGTTAATTTAGGAGAATTGAGAGCCAGAATCCGGTTTCTGACAGCCCCACCCTGAACCCCTCCTTCCCCCTCTGCCAGCTCTGGGATAGAGGGGATGGAGGAGAATGTGTGTGAAGGGGGAGAAGAGGACAGAAAGAGGTAAAAAGAGAGGGAGGGAAGGAGTGGGAAGGGAACTTTGCATTCCTCATTAGCAGTGCTAATTGCGCAGTAATGACTGTGTGTTATTATCAGAAATTTATCCTGGCAAACAGTCAGCTGTCCCAGCAGACACACACACACATACTCGCTTGCTTCACAGCGATGGCTTGACGCTTGAGAAACAAAATGAGGAATTTCTTCTCAGAAAGAAACTTTTCAGGCCCCAAACTCTTGTGAGTTTGCAGAAGGGTTTTTGTTGTTGTTTGGTTGGTTGGTTTTTGGTCCTGGGGATTGAACCCAGGAGTGTTTTACCACTGAGCTATGTCCCCAGCCCTTGTTATTTTTAATTGAGAGACAGGTCCTCACTAAGTTGCTGAGGCTGGCTTTGAACTTGCAGTCCTCCTCCCTCAGCCTCCTGAGCAGCTGAGATTACCATGCCTGGCTGCAGAAGAGTTTTGAGCTGGTGCCTCCCAGCTTCCTGTAGGTTCAAGGACATCTCCTGGAGGGCTGGGGTCCGGTGTCCCTTTGCCCAGCCTTTGGACTGACTGCAGGGTCTGGGCTCTAGATAAAAACCCAGCTGAGAGATTGAACCTCCGAGTGGTGGATGTGGGAATACTTAGCACCAAAGTCCTCTCTCAGCTTGTCCTTCATCGTTGCCCCAGGCCATAAAAGTCTTGTCTTCTCCTTCACATAAAGTACTTATTCTTTGCTTAAAACTGATGTCTCGGGTTGTTCCTGCAGTCTAGAATGAATATGTTCCCCTGACTCCTTCCAGTTTAAACCCTGCCTGACAAAACAAAACAAACTCCCAACGCTCAAAACTCCCCTCTTTCTGGAAGCCTCCCTTGATTGGGCCCATGTTTCTACTCGGGGATTCCTCCCGCACTCACTCCTCCCTCTGCATGGTGTTACCTCCACCCACTCCCTTCTCCTAAAAGCAATAGACATTTGCTAAACGTGGATCCATTGGTGAGACACTGAGCTTGAGAATATGAGAAAGAAACAGACCCCAGCTCAAGGAGCTCACGGGTTGCAATCAATGGTTTGCCTCGCTAAATTCCAATGCAAAGGAAAGCTTTGAGTGCAGTGGGCTGACAAGGAAGGGGACATCCCAGTCAACTCTGGAAGTCAGGCTGTTCTTAGTGCTTCATGTATGTCAACTCATTGAAGCGTCTCAGTAAACTGATAAGAGAGTGACAACTGCTATCATCTCCATTTTATAAACGAGAAAATGAAGGTACATAGAGGTTTAGTAACTCACTGGAGGTCGCGCAGCTGCTGTGTCATTCATTCATTTGGATTGTGGGTATAAACTTGAAAGCAGGCACTCTGGCTCCAAAGCCTACCCTCTTCACCTCCATACCCCACCACACCTTCCAGGAGCCAGCCGGGTAATGAGGAAGAAGACAGATGCACAGGACAGAGAGACAAGTTGTTGCGAAGTTCCAGGACCTAGAGAGGGCAGAGATGGAAGACAACAAACTAAGCAGAAGCAGGGAAGGTGGGTGGGCAGTGAGGAGGAGAGACAGGCATCATTGCTCTGTGGCCACAGCACTGACTGCCTACAGGGGACACCACTGTAGAGCGACTGAGGAGGAGTCTGCGTAGGTGGATGGAGGCCGGGTCTGGAGAGTGCCAACTTTATCCCAAAGGACCCAGGAGCAGTCTCTGAAGGTTTGTGAGAGCGAGGGTGGCATAATTATATTATTCTATAAGTCACCGTCGTGATCCTGAAGAGGAATATTGAGCACCTGGGTTAGAGCAGTGACAGTGGATGCAAGAATGGGAATGGGGTGGGGGAGGGGTTCAAACCATTATATGGAGTAAAAAATAAATAAATAACAAATTTGGAGATTGAATGCAGGTAGATAATGGAGAAAGAAGCATCAAGGAGGCCTCTGAGGTTTTTACTTTAAGAAACTAGTTTGGTTATGTCCTAATTTAAGGAGGAAGAGCGGGTTTGCAAAATGTAGAAATCTCTACCTTTGACATGTTGAATTTATGAAGTCAGCAGTTTCTGAACCGCACATGTAGAATCAAGGAGAAAGGGATGGGACAGAGAATGGGAGATCCTTAGGTGTGGGCCCTGGGGTGAGACAGTCTGGTTTCCAGTTCTGGCTGTCACTTGGTACATTTGGGATAATACAGGGTCATTGTGGGGATTAAATGATAGAATGCATATTAACCAAGCAGCATAAAGCCTGGAACAGGGTAAAAAATGCTCAGGATGTGTTTAGTACTACTACTATTAATTTTAATATTATTTAAAATCTGAAGTCCCAGGAGTAGGTGAGACCACTCAGCATCTCATCTCAGGGATAAGAACAGAACCCTGGAAGGATAGAGTTAGAGGAGAGTAGAGAACTCAGAATAAGGAAAATCCAGAGAGAAGTGTGTCACAGAAGAGTTTCACAGCCGACGTGGGCATGGGCAACTGTGCAGCAAAGAAGTGAAAGAACTCATTTTAAATCAATTTCACACGCGGCCTCTCTCCATGATTAAGTGCACTCCCTCAGGACAGAGCCCCCATGCTCAGGGCTCTGCATGCTGTGTGGCTGAAGGCCACTGGGTACAGGACACAGCACAGCAACCATGTCCCAGGTTCCTGGCATGAACTGGCTCTTAATAGGACCTCAATAAATGCTAAATGAATAAACAAGTAAATGAATGGTGTGAAAAGAGAGGCTAGAGTTCTAGTTCTGCCACTTGCCAGCAAAGAATCCCAAACCAGTTATTTTGGGCCTGTCTGGGGCCTCACCAGAGAGGTGAGAGTAATAACATCCACCTCTCAGGGTTGTTATATGAAATGAGATAACGTACATGAGAGTGTTATATAAACTGTGTAATACTTTACAAATGGTCGGGGGGGGCTGACTCACTCAAACCAGTTCCTGTGCCGTTAGCAAACAGCAGAAATACAGATTGGGCTTGGGGGCTAAGGAAGAAAAGGATTTTTGTTTTACCAAATACATGAAAGCTGGAATATAGTGAGCAGATTTGTTCTCTCCAGGTGCTCCAGCCACCTTGATTCCACAGGGGGGCTTCAGGCCCTTGACCCAAAGCATGCTCAGTGGATTCTTCCTACCTGACTCCTCTTAATCCAGGATTAAGACCTCCTGATTTGGGCAGAGCCTTTTTGGAGTTGTCACTTTAATTCGTTTTGGCATTTTATCTGGTTCCCTTTCATTAGTGGAACAGCCAGAGTCCTGAGGTTGCAATCTCTCTCCAGGCTCCTTGGGGAGAATTATAGTCACTAAGGTCTTGGTTGTCTAAGAACTACAGCTTGGCTCTTTCCTGGAAGCTGGTCTCTGACCACAGGACACAACTCAGGTATAACAGTGACTCCCTTGTAGCAGACACCCATCCAAAAGCAAAGCAACCAAACTAGTCCTGACCTGTGAAGCTGTCTGGCCCCCACCCTGGGTTTTATCAATGACACCAACTTCTCTCTGGACTAGCAATTGAGTCCAAGAGGCAATTGGAATGGCTAAATGCAAAGAGGCATAGGAATAAATCTTTCTTTCACTGTTCTATAGTTTATTTCCAAATATTTTATTTCTTACAAAGTCAATTTTTAAATATCATAAACTTTTCAAAGAAAAGATGATTTTTTTTTCCCACATCCCTACCATCCTCCCCCGCACGGTGAAGAAGGAAGGGGAACTGATCTGGGATCAGAAGGCCTGGGTTCCAGTTCTCTGCTATCTCCTAGTTTGAAAGGCTGGGACTAGTCATTTAATTTTCTCAACTACCAGATGGATTATTAGCATCCACTGATTCTACTTCTCAGGGTTCAAATGAGATAAAATCCTTCTTGGCAATTTTCAGAGACTTACTTGCCTGGAAGAGTACAGGTTGCCTCTGTATATCTGCTGGATGTCCCTCTATAGCTGAGAAAAAAAAACATGTCTCAGTAAGCAGGGGATGAGGGAGGTAGAGAGAGGAGATCATGGGGTTTTCAAGGTTGGGTTAGTGTCCCTGTTGGCTCCCACTCACTTGGTAAAGCTGTGTCACTTGTGTCTATTCCCTGTATCTCTCCCTGCACGTCAGACAATTCAACTAAGAGCGTCAGACTGCTCCCTTTACATCTCTGCTGGGGACTTGACAGGGAGGAGGGAATAGGAAGAGGGCTCCCTATTTAGAAATTTGCATTGAGATGGAAAGACAATATGACACATCGGCTCATGTCAAAGGAGCTCACTCTTCACGCCTACAGCATTAGCAATTTCCTACCAAGGTTCAATTTTTTTTAAATTATTATTTGGTTTTAATTTATTTTAGTTGCAGCATAACGCAACAAGACAGTGCAAGTCAGAGCAGGGTGGGTGCCTGCCCAAGGGCAGAGACTTAGGGGTGGGTGGGCAGAAACATGAACTTTTGTTGAGGAGAGGAGGGCATAGGGATGGGAGCCCCCTGATTTCTGCCTTCAACTTTCGTATCCCACACCACTTCGGTCCCCTTATCTTTTTCTGAGCAATCTGACCTGAAGGCCCCAGACTCAGGATGTTCCAGCCATAGCTGTATGAGCAGTGGGGGAGGGGAAGACAAAAGTGATTTGGACATGGGTAAAACCATCCCTTCTAGAGTGTTATTGCTGGAAGCAGCTTCAAAGAGGTCCTAATTCAACTTCAAATAAGGACACTGACCTTATCTTACAGAACATGCAAAGTCCTCATGGCTGATTTGGTGCATGGGTCCTACATCCCTGGACATTGGCTATCTAATACCCTTTTTTGGCCCTATCCCATATTGCCTTCTCTCCTTCCCCTACTCCAAATCCAAACACAGAATGGTCTTTCTCTAGAGATAAGGTTGAAGGGACAACTCCACTTATTCCTACTTTTCTTCCCTTTCTGTATTTGGGTGGGATGTGGGGAGTCTGAATGTTGTCTCTTCACTGGGAAGAAGCATAGATGTGTTTGGGGTTTGGACTTGTGGGGAAAAGGGTTCTGGAGAGAAAAAGTTCCCATCTTTACATAAGGATTTTTTCTGCTTTGTGTCTGGTTATGTGACCATCACCGTATCAGCAACTGCTGTGGAGGGGCAGGTTGAAGAAGACAACTAGGGTGAGGCTTTATAATGTAAGAAAAATGTTTTTAATATCACTTTCTGAATATATGTCCCTTTATAAGTGCAATGGTCTCTGTTTCTGTTCTCTCTGTCTTCTGCAATTTCTCTATGTATCTCTCTCATTCTCTGCCCCTCTGTCTCTGTCTTTCTCTGGTCTCTGCCTCTGTTTTATTCTCTCTGCAGCTCTCAAATACTCTCACTTCAGCACTCCAAATTCAATAGGAGCCAGGGAGCTCCAGCCTCTTGCTGTATCCCTGTCAGGTCCGAATCTCCTTCTCTTTGTTAGGTTGAGAAATGCCAGGTCCGGAGCTGCTGCCGAGAGCACCAGAGAGGCTGCAGAACCGCCTGCCGAGTGTGGAGGCTGAATCCGGGAACAATGAGAAATTATCTGTTAATTCTCAGCTCCTGCCACCTGCTCTGCTCCAAACAGGCTCCTTTGCCTTCAGTTTAGATGCAAATTCCCCTACTCGGATGTAAGCAAAATATTGATTTCCCTGCATCACAGGCCTGGGCCCTTGGACCGGTCCTGGTTTTTTTTTTTTTTTTTTTCATTCTCTGCAAAGGCAAAACAAGGCGCTTTGTTCTGCGAATTTCCCCAGGAACTCGAGAGGGGGAGGGAGATATCGCCGCGGAGTGACAGAGTTGCCATAAACACGGGCAGAGAGCAGTTTATCTCCATTTGTGTTTTACATAAACACAAACCCGCCGCTTTGGAAACTGCTAATGAGCGTGTAGCCAGGGACCTGCGAGCTCCTGTCTCTTCCTGGTGTTGAGGTCTGCATTGGGTGGAGGAGAAGGTTATGGGGCCTCGGGGCTCCTCAGGTGGGATTTCAGAAGCACCGGAAGGTGAATGGAGACGCTAGAACCTTACCTGTTCTTGGAACAGCAACCCAGCACCACCCGCAGGAAGGTGGCCTGGACTGCATAGTATCGCCTGGATCGTGTTTGCTCAGTACCTCCTGCCTCAATTCCTAAATCTTTCAAATCACAAACGCCAGGGGTCAGGGTGGAAACTACGACAGTTCCCCACCCCACCCCACCCCCGCCAAGCGCCCTTCCCCCTCCCCTAGCCCGTGCCCACGCAATATTTCTTCAGCACCGTGGACAGAGCCAGGAACGTCCCGGGCCGAAAGACCGCAGAACTAGGCCAGGGTGCTCTCAGGCTGCCGCCTGGTCCTCGGTACCCGGGGCACTAGCTGCCCCGGGCTGCTCGCAAGTGCAAGGACCGGGTGGCTCTTCTAGCGCAGATGGTGCACGGTAGAGACCGCCAGGAGCTGGGGCTCGGAATCTCCTCTCTCCGGAACGTGAGTCACCGCCCGAGCCACTTCCAATTAGAGTGTTAATTAGGAGGAAAGACCCTCCTCCACCACCGCCCACCCGAGCACGCACCAGCCCCGAGACTTCCGGAGGCTCCAGCTAAAGTTTCGGTCCCAGCTCGGGGAAGGAGCTTTGGGTGAGTCCTACGTAGAGAGGGGCCGCACCGCGCACAGGTAGAGGACAGAGACTCCAGTGACTGGGCTCTGCAGGGTCCCAATCCGCTGACCGCCATGCTGCACACATTTCTAGCACTGAGTGAGGCACCTCAAAGCCCCCCAGACAACCTGTTCCTGGGCCTCACTCCACAGTTCCTGAGAGTTCTGCTTTTTAAGTCTAGCCTCAATCCCACGGTTTAATTTTCAGTCCTTCGGGTCCTTGTTATACTTAATTGAAAAAGATACATTGTTTCTGGTGGGGTTGCACCTGATCAGGGAGGTGAGTCTGGCGGGAATAGGGCACCCTCTTGAAATGCCCCCCATTCCTATTCGCCAGAAACTTTCCCCTCCCGTTGCCATGGAGAGAGACGGCCGCTGTCTCCCGTCGCCATAGCAACGTGCGGGTACTGTGGACCGCAGGATTGCGGGGCTCAGAAAGTCTTCTGGCAGTTTGCATCGCTCCGCAATCTTGGGGTCTTCTATCCCCGAAGATGGGACTTGAGGCAAGTCTGACTAACTTCTCCTGTCAAGGTCCTCCCACTCACAGCCAGGTCATCTATTATGGGGTTATCTATTAGCTGCCACTTGTGTGGCATGTGGCTGTTTACCCAGCGTTTCCACAAGCACTATCTTTATATCCCAGGGGGCCCATGAAACACTCATAATCATTATACCTCTTTTACCGGAGAAAAAAAATTGAGGCTCAGAGAGGACCAAGGTCACAACCGATACTGAATGCGGAGAAGGATTCGGGCTCTTTCCCTGGTCTTGCCACCCTCTCAAGGTGCGGGATAACGGGGCTGCAACCAGCCCGGACTCTGGCCAGTCCCTGAGTGTAGAGGGGGCGGCCAGGAGGCGCCAGACTTGCCAGCTGCCGCGGGATGCCACGTGAGGGGCGGGGACCCTGCGGGGAAGTGATTAAAAGCAGAACGGAGCCGCAGGGGGCCGCTGCGGGGAGGGTCTTCTTGGGGCCGCCTTGCCCCGCCCCAGTCCCGCAGCTGTGAGGGTGCGAGAGGCTGCTCTGCAGGCCTGGGTGTCCAGGGCATGAGCGGGGTGTGGGGGGCCGGAGGGCCTCGGTGCCAGGCGGCGCTCGCGGTCCTGGCCTCTCTGTGCCGGGCCCGGCCGCCTCCTCTTGGGCTGGACGTAGAGACTTGTCGGAGCTTCGAACTGCAGCCCCCAGAGAGGAGTCCGAGCGCTGCCGACGCAGGTAACGGGAGACCCAGGACCCCCTGCCTTCTTGGATTCTCATCTTGGCCGTCCCCATGTCCCCAAACACTCGCCCCAATAGCCGGGAAGATGGAGCGAGAACTCCAGCCTGGGCTTGTGGATTCGCCACCAGCCTCACACGGTCCCCTGGCCCATCTCCTGCAGGGCAAGGAGGGATCTGAAGGGAATCGGGAGAGACAGAACCCCCTGCCCCTCTCGAGTGACTATTGTGGGGGCCCGGCGGAAAGCTCCACGGAGACGACACCCTCGGGGCCTCAGTTTCCCTCGCGTTTCTGGGCTCGCCCTACAGGCTATCTCCCCGGGGAGGGGTTAGTGGATCCAACAGGAGCCGAGGGACGTACTGGCTACCGAAAAAGCTTGTCCCCTTTGGAAGTGCCCAGGTGCTAGAGTTCATCAGTTGACCTGACCGTCCGTTGTTCTCTCAGTAAACGCCGAGCCCCCTGGGTTAGGGAGAAACTTGGGTCTGCGGCTGGCACGAGGTCTTTGTGTCCGGGTGTCTCTCGCGCTGCTAGTGGCTTTCTGCGTCTCCGATGGGGGGCGGGGGTCCGGGAGGCGGAGTGGGGGAGGCTGTCGCGGCGTCCTCCCCCCACACCCCCCTCGCCCCTATAACTCGCTCCCTCGGTCTCCCTCTGACTCACTCGGACTCCCGGCGGGTGCGCGACTGAGCCGGTGCCTCTCGCCGACTTTTGCCAAGAGGGCGCCTCCTGCCCAAGCCTCGCGGACCCTGCGCCCGACGCAGCCCCAGGCGGCCGCCGAGTGCAGGCGGGAGCCCGAGTCGAGTCGAGCTCGCCGGAGCCGGTGAGTCCCGAGCCCGAGCCCCGCGGGGCCGGGGCCCGGAGTGCAGCTGCGACGTCTCGCAGGAGTCGCGACAGCGGGAATGGCTTGTCGCGCCCTGGCGGCGGGAGCCGCAGAAGGATCGGCGGTGTGACCAGGGGCCGGCCCTGGGTATTTACCTGCTGCACCAGTGCCCTGCGGTCACGCTTGCCGGCTGCAGTGGGGTTTCTTTGTCCCGTTGCGTGGAGAGTGCCGGTGGGAGGATGTACAGGGTCGCGTCCCCTCCGGAGGACCGGCTGGGAAGAATGCGGAGTGGGGGTGGGGAGATCCTGCAGGGACCAAGGCGCTGGGGTTCCTTGGGACTCCGCAGACTCCATCTCTCCTTGTCCCTCCACCCCCCACCCCATTGGCGCCGGGCCAAGGGATATGCGGGAGTCTCCCGGTGGCTCCACACCGCTGGCATGGGAGAGGAGGTTTAGGGGGTCGCTAGAAGTGGGCATTTAGTCTCCCACCCGCTTCTCCAGGGACAAGAGGCCAGGGTCGAAAGTGGAGGTTCCACAAGCATGTACAGGTGGGGTAAGCTCCCCAGGGATGCAGGCTCCAGAGCCCTAGTTTCATTTGAGGTTAAGGGTGGGAAATAGAGGAGTATTCCGCGTTAGAAATAGAGCCAAGGGGAGGCTTGTGTATGTGTGACTGGTCTATATCCAGCCTTTTGGTGATTTGGAGCTCACCCCTGACCTGTTATGAGTTGTAGGGGTCCCTGCGCTAGCATGTTCTCTCTCTCTCTCAGTAGTTAATCAATGGGTTGATTACTGCAGCAGAAGGGATGGAGATTAGACATGGAGAACTTCTAGAGGATGGTACAATGATTAAGGCTGGGCAGTTGGTTCTCCTTGGAAATTCTCAGAACAGATTAGGTTCCCCAAATATTATTAGACTCTGGTTCTCTGGTGTCATCTGCTTCTACACCACCCAACTCCCCATACCCACCAGATAGAGAATTTTCCTCAAGCCAGAGTCACTTCCTGTCTCCCCTTATTACCTAGCTCTCTTCTGTCTTTTCCTCCAATGACCCATCTCCAGTCTAGAGGGTGAGAACACACCTGTCGAATTCTACCTGGGATTCCCCCTGTCTGTTCAGGGCAGAAATCCTGGTGGTGGGGATGGGGGTTGTTGGGGTGTTCGTGTGTAGCACATCCAGGCAGTAGGGAGGCATTGGTGTTCTGTCCAGAGAAATGCCCTTTAGTCTGGAATGACAGGTGCCTGGACAGCCAGGTGGAGGGTGAGAGAAACCTGAGGGGTAAGAGTCAGTCAGTCCAGATGAATCAGTATGCCTTCCCTGCAGGCTGATTCAAAAGGCAAGTTTGAGTTGTTAGCCCTGGGGAACTTGAACTTTGGTTGCTGAGTCACAAGCCCCAGGAAGCCCAAGAGCCAAGCTTGGAGACTGAAAGGGATAGGAGAAGTAGAGAAGGAGACCCTGGGTCATAGCACAAGAAAGAAAGTGGTTGAGAGTAGCTTTGGGACCTTAAGAATTTAGGTGAGCACAGTGTCTGGGGAGATGGTGTAGACTTCAGGACCAGGGCTCCAGGTGTCTCACCTCCCAGCCTACTCCCTACATCTCACCGCCACTGCCTGAGTCCAGAATCTCCAGTCAGAGAAATGCTGGATCTTGTCATTTGCAGTTTTATGAAAAATGCAAGCGGGTAGAGCATGCCCAGCTCCTTTTATCATTTAACACTTTCCCCTGCCTTCCTCCTGTTCTGAGTCTCTAACTCATGGGATTTCTAGTAACACTCTGAGATACAGTCTCCACTATCATTTACTGAGACCCTCCCAATGTGCCAGAATCAATGCTAGGAATTGCGTGGAAAATCTCAGTTAATTAGACACTGACTTGGAAACACCCATGCCCCAACTGTTTGAGCTAAAAGCAAATGCCCTTCTTTTTAAAAACTCTCAAGGCAAAGGGCCTGCTTTCTCCCTTAATACACCCACCCAAGTTAGGGTTAGGGTTAGGGTTAGGGTGACAAGCAGTTCTTCACCTTTCCTGTATCATGTGCCTTGCAGAAATGAATGATCTCTTCCCTCAGGCCAAGTTGCAGTGGGTTAGGTGTGGGGAGTGTGAGTTCTGGGCTCAAGGTAGTAAGCAGAGATATTCTAGAAAATGCAGGGACTCAATGGGAGATCCAAGCTGCCTCTCCCCTCCCAGACTGACAGCCAGCTTACCCTTGGCCTTGAGCTGCATGTGATGTTTATTCACTTTGCTAATGACTCTGGAGATGGTCTGTGATTTAGCCACCTGGCTTTGAAGTTGGTTTTTTGCAACACAGAGAATGTTTTCCCTGTGTGTGATGGCAAATTAAGTGTACAACATTTCATTAAAACAGAGTCCTGTTTCTACAATTGAATAATCAGCTACTCCTTCACTCTTCTTGCTGAAAGGAAAGAATCCTGCAAATTTTGCCATTTTTGAAGAAGGGAACAATGCCCGATCCTGAAGCACCCATGGGATGATGTTCTAACTCCGGTGTATTTTTAAGCTTTACTTTTCTTCAAGTGAGGTCTAGTATCTAGCACTTATAGTCCTAGATGGTTCTCTTCTCCCTCTGAACGTGGCAACTACAAGCGGGAAAGACAGTTTCAGTGTGCATCATCCCTTCAAGCTCTGTACAAAAGCTGCATGTTTTTCTAATTGTTCCAACTTTATCTTTTACCATCCACAGAGTCAAGGGTAAAACATATGGCTGCAAATAATTAGGACTGGCATTGAGGCATTAGGATCAGGCCAGCTTTCTTTAGGGTCTGTGTAGAGTTGTCTGAAGTTGCGGAGAGCATGGTAAGAGAAAGTCTGGATTGAGCTAGGTAGCATCTCTGCCAGTCCTGCTGAGAAGAAGGTCCTGTAAGGACTGAGCCACCAGGATCTTCAGTCAGAGGAACCTGTGACAGCAGAAGTGAGCAGGGCATCCTGATCTGGGTGCTCTAGATAGAATGACACTTTATCTCTCCCTTTTCTTTTGGAGTGCTAAACTCTTTTTCCTAATCCCCAAGGACCCACACAGAGCTTTCCTTTCACTAGTTGCAGATACAAACAGAGAAGAGGACAGACAGAAAAGAATCTCTCTGGCTTTCTCTCTGCCCCTCCCCTCCATTGCTCCAGCCTAGATCTTGGATTCAGAGAGGCTACATGTCCTGATGGGTCAGGCAGAAAGGTACAGTTACCATCTGCCAAAATGCTAATACTAATAATTGCTAAGTCAGTGTCAATGCTCTGTTAGCTCTGACACATTAGTCTCCAAAACATTTCTGAGTTCCTTAATGATGGTGGAAGTGGGCACCCGGTCATAAAGCTTGGTGTGGCTGTAATTAGCTTGGCATTGTCTTCCCTCTTCACAGGTTTACCAGGAACATTAATTCCTTCTCTGTTTGGACTCTGCTAATTATCCCCATAGGTAGTCGGTCTTAGATCTCTAAAGAAGGGAAGGACACAGTGGCCCTCTACTCCCCATTCCCCTAACCCTGCATTTTAATTAAATCCAGTTCTCCTAATGAATTTACAAGCCACAACAGAGCTTATCATTAATGTACCATGTCAGAGTCTCAGCACAGAATAGCCTCTGTTCTCCCAACAGACACACACACACACACACACACACACACACACACACTCAGGCATATGTCTGTATGGTACTTTTCAGGGGCCACTGGTTACTTGTCTGGTGGCTGGATATTTACTGCAGGATATTTACTTTCCAGGGAAGAAGAAAGCTGGAGGTGGGGGGGGGCAGTCATAATCCAAGTCTGCAGGACTCTGCCCAAGTTCAAGGTTCAGGCCTAAGACTAGAGGATGCCCCCACCCCTCACCATCTTCTATTGATCACAACTTAGAAATGCTTCCCCTCTCTGTCCACACTTTGATCCTATAGTTCTTCAGTTGCACTTCCAGTGCCCTGAGATGCCTGATTCAAGAGCCTGGATCTTGGCATCAGAAAATCCTAGATTCAAATCCCAACTCTCCTTCTTAATGCAGTGTACCCTGCACAAGTTACTTAGCTAACATCTCTATCCTTAGTTTATTTATCTTTAAAAGGTGAACACCAATTTCTCTGGGAAGCTGTAAAGATTAAATGAGATAATGTAAAGGGCACAGTGTTTACTGTGTAGACATAAATAGCCTATAAAATCATTAATATTAATGGATCTATCTTCCCACCCTAAACTGTTCCTTTAGACTCTTGGGCCTCTGGGTTACTTGCTTTCTGGTCCCTGGGCTGTGCTTTGCCCATGGCTCCATCTGTGTCTGAAGGACAGCCAGGCTAAGGCAGCTTCTGCTCTGCAGGGTCTGAGCACTTACATTCCTGAGGGTCCACCAGCAGCTCTAGGCACAGGGGAAAGTAGGAAAATGGTCCTTTCTTCTCGATTCCTCCCCCCAGTTTATCTTTTCAATTATGATCTGTTAGCAAGAATGCCTATGACTGTTACAAAAAGGATTTTCCTGACATGGGAGCCCATTAGAAAAATTGGAACAATAGCAAGCGATAAGAACTGGCTGAGGAATCTGAGCACTATGGTCGGAGAGAAGGGGAGGCGGCCTAGGGCTCTGTCTCTGGAGAAAGGATTGTCAGAGGGGTGAGAGGCAAGATCTGGGCTGCTAATTAATAGCATAGAGGGAGGCCATGGGCCGTCACCCTGGCACCCAGTTTTATTGATGGCAATAGGCAGGTCTTAACATGATGGCCTTCAGGGGGATCTTAACTTCAGGAAAGTAGGGTCCTAGGGTCCCTCAGATGCTTTGCCATCTCATCTGGCATCTCCCTTCTGTTCCTCAAAGGCCTCCCTTTGGGTCTGTTCTGTACACAGTAAACTATTGTCCTACACACACACACACACACACACACACACACACACAAATCCCCCACAAACCCACAAATCACAAAGAATAACAGCAACTTGCATTTTGGGGGGTATTCATCATATACCGGCATCTGTGCTCAAAGTGTTAGCGTATGTGATATTCCCAGTGATCCTGTGAGATAGGAGTCATTAGATCCCTCACTAAGTAAGATAGGAAACTAAAGTTTGGAGAGGTTAAAGGATTAGTTCAGGGTCACACAATTAGAAAGCAATGTGAATAAAATGTGCTGTGTGGTCATTCTGGCATGAGTGCCCATCTGAGATGCCTACCCTGCTTCTGAGCAGGTGTGAAGTCCAGTCCCCCAGCCAGCGTTCAAAGCCATGTGCTCCTGTACAATGCCATGTCATTGGGGTGTGTCTCCAAAGCCGAATCCCATAGCTTTTTTCTCTTCCATAGGCAACTCTGTTTCCCCAAACCAGAAGCCCAAGGGCTACTGGAACAGGAATGGACTTCTTTTCCTTAATTTCCAGAAAAACTGCCAGGTGTGGTGGTGCATGCTTACAATCCCAGCAGCTCAGGAGGCTGAGGCAGGAGGATCGTGAGTTCAAAGCCAATCATAACAACTTATTGAGGCCCCAGGCTACTCAGTGAGACCCTGTCTCTAAATAAAGCATAAAAGGAACTAGGGATGTGGCTCAGTGGTTAAGTGCCCCTGGGTTCAATTCCTGATATAAAAAAAATTTTGTTTTTTCCAGGAAAACTTGGCAAGAGATGTTCTTGATTATACATTTTTCTTTCATGATTTTATTCTTTGGAACTCTTTGGAACTCCTGTTCACCAGCTGGGTGGTAATGGTAACAATAAAACAAGCAGGGAAAGTAACAGGCAAACAGATATTAACAGAAACTTGGAAATGTGTGATCTTTGACATGGTCTGTGCTGTGTCTCAAAGCACAGAGAGTCCTGGAAATGTAGGAAATAGTTATATGGTTTCTGCTGGCAAGATTATTCTTGGTTTGTAATGATAAGGTTAAAGCTATCTATATTATCGTTCATGGTTTGCAGGTATTCTGCCCACTAAACAAATCTCAGGATTAAGGGATGTTCAAAACTAGGCAATTCTAATTAAAAAACAGCCTAACGTTTATTCTACTACTTGCTACCTTCTTAAGCGCTGACCTCAGCACTTTTGATACACTTTTGACCCCATTTAAATCTCACAAGGACCCTATGAGGTAAATAATGTAGTAGTTCCATTCAATGGATGAGAAAACTGAGGCTGAGAAAGGTTACACAGTTTGTCAAACAGTTTAAAATGGAGATGGACTTTCAATGAGCCCTGTCTTCTGAGCGTCATGAGCAAGGCTTCTTTCTCTTTAAGCAGAAGGAGAGAGTAAGAAGAAGAGTCAGAGGAAGAAAACAGACACTTGGAAAGTACTTTCTTTTTTGCTGTGCTGTGTTGAGCACTTTCTCTGTCACTGGGGACTTACCTCTTGGCCAGGGGCTACTCCAGGTACACACAGGAGGATCCCAGGGTCAGAACTCGGAGAGGGGCCAGAGGTGCCCTCAGAATTCCATCTGCCTCCCAGGGCTGAAGTTCAAACAAGCTGTGAGCGGGAAAGGGGTTTTGAAGGCCATTTGTCACCTGTCATTTCCTAGGGAGGCGACACGTACTGATGTGTTGGCCCCAAAAGTCCAAGGTAGGAAGGTACACAACTTAGGTCATCTGGGCCTGGGCCTCGTCCTTAGGCCACCGAAGGAGCTTGCATCCCTTCCCAACTTCAGTGTACCTTTCCCCAGATGCTATGGTTTGGATCTGGGATGTCCCCCAAAGGCATTTGTTGGAAGGTTGTTTCCCAGAGTGGCACTCTTGGGAGGTGGAGGAAGCATGAAAAGGTGGAGGTCTTCAGATGATTGTGTGTGTGCCCTTGAAGAAGAAAGCAAGACCCCAGCAACTCCCTCTCCCTTTCTCTGTTTCACTTCCTGGCCAGGAGGAAAGCAGTTTTGTTCTGCCACATGTTCCCACCATGATGTGTCACAATAGGATCAAGTGACACAGATTAAAACCTCTAAAACTGTGAGCTAAAATAAACCTTTTCTCTTTATAAGTTGATTATCTCAGGTGTGTGTTATAGTGACGTAAAGCTGACTAACACACCAGGGGATGAAGGCTGGTTGAGTTCAAGGCCACATGGGGTGATTTTTTTAAAGGGGTTAAATCCTCTATAATCATCTCCTCCCCCTGGCCTGATTCCGCTCTTTTTGTCATGTTCACTATCTTGCATACCCCGTATGGATGAATCCTCTCTGTTTAGAAGCCAATTTTTCTTGCATTGCCTGCCTGTGAGATGTCAAAAGCCCAGGCTCTCCTGGAAGAAGATCCTCCAGGCATAGGATGGGCCTCCTGGCCTTATATAACCAGTATCGAGTGCTGGGTGCTGATTCCCAATAATCCATATCCTCTGCCTCTGTGATTAGGGAGTCACGGCTCGAAGGGAACAACAGCTGGGGGTCACGTGGAGAAGCAATCAAAATAGCAACCACACTGAGAAAAAACTGATTCCCCTGGCCCCTCCCCTCCCCCACCTCTCTTTTCATTTATGAATTCCGTTTTTTTTTTTTTTTGTCAGCCTGAACATTTAAATGCACTCTATCCTCTCTGGATTCCCCCTCATTCCCCCCTTCTCATTAAAATTCTAATTATTACCAGAGCAAGCAAAATGTATGATCAAAGGAAAGCAAGGCCCTAGAAATACCTTTTGTTTTAAGGTGACTCATATTGCAGAGGATGCATCCAGAACAGCTGTTAACAGAATAGATTTGAAGGGTCTGGAGATGGCCCGACACACAGAATAAGGACACATATATCTGTAGTCATTTTCCTGATGATCCCGGGAGGATAAAGGCTTAGAAAAATAGTCCCCAAGCCATTTAGATCATGAATGCATAACAAAAAAATATTGAGTTAGTACCTCCAATAGATGCTTACTTGTCCCCAGGTTATATACGTGTTCTATAGCAGTGAAATTGAAGAGCCAGACTGCCTGGGTTATGGCCCAGTTCTACCCCTTACGGGCTGCATGACCTGGGCAATCTATATAACTCTCTGTGTCTGTTTCTATGTCTACAAAATCAGGATCATACTGTACCTATTTCATTGGAAAGGATTGAGTGAACAAGTATATCAAAAGCATTTTGAACCTTGGACATAGTCATGTTGAATAAATTGACTAAACCCAATAATAAAATGCTGTTATTACTATCAATCTGCATATAAATTTTTGATTTCTTATATGAGATAATAAATATACATTAAAATGATCTCTTTTCCTGTGGCCCCAAGGCATGTGCTCACCACACTAGAGACCTTTAACCTAGTCGTTAACTTAGAATCAATCAATTTTTCTGGTCCCTGGCAGTCTCTAGAGGAAGGATGAGCCCCATCTCTTGGCCAGGGGAAGGCCCTGATGTCTCTGTGCAGGGTCTGGGCAGGAGACAGAGGTGGTGGTCTGTGGCTAGGAACTTGAAGAAGATTCTCTGCTATTATTCCCTCTTCATGGAGGTGCCTGGTAGTGGATCTAGGAAAGTTAGCTGCAACAGGGAGTTGAAAGGCAATGCTGGCTCCCCAGAGAGTGTGGCTGAAGTTCTCACCTCCTTCTCAGATCCCTTTGGATGTGAGAGAGCTTTCCTTGAACCTGTATTCAGGGAAAGTACCCAGCCTCCCTCCAGGAAGGACTGGGCATCTTTGTACCCCAAGCCTAGCTCAGAACCTGGCACATGCCAAATGCTCCGTAAATGTTGGTTAAACTTAATTTAAATGAGAGATAATCACACCCTTTAAAAAGAGAGAGAGAGATAATTACACCCTTTTATATGCCATTCATTCACGCGCTCACTCTCATGTGCCAGTTCCTATGCTAGTTCATGAGTCAAGTCAATGTGAAAAGAACAAGATCACAATAGCCTCCGGGAGCCTGTGGTTTCACCAGGGACAAACAGACCAGGACAGTGCAGAGAGTGCCAGGCTGGGCAGTGGGCATCTGGACCCTGGTCTGAGTTCTGCATCTGACCAACCTGTAACTGCAGGCAAATCTCTGCTCAGGGACACTGCTCCCATCTGTAAAGGTACAGCCTGGCCTCAGTACCTGTGGAGTCATTCCTCACCATCAGTCCTAAGATTATTAAGGCACTGGAGCAGACTAATCCAGCGACTGCGACCCCACCAGCCTGCCGTGGGGAACAGGGAGTGCCAGGTTGAGCTGGCAGGGAGCTCAAAGGAGTCGCCAGTTCCCACTTTGCGGAACCTAAGTCCAGCTACCAAGTCATCGGCTTCTTCCAGAAAAGCCAGAAATCTGGGGCAATGATGTATGTAATTTGGTGACTTTTCAGTCATAATGCAAGCCAAACAAAACTCTTCTGCTGACTTGGCCAACAGTGACCGTTTTTACTCGCTGACCATTTGGCCCACAAGCAAGCCATTGGTTCAGAGCCTTCTAACTTTACTCAGAGCAAGAAGAGGCTTGAGTTTCAGAGCTTCATTCCCAGGTTTGGGGAGGGAAGTGGATGAGAGATCTGCTGAGTGATTTCTCACAAAGGCAGGCACCCCGCTACAGCAGCTCTGCTGAGATAATGGACATCTCTTGGTTCAGGAGTGGGCTGGGCATGGGGCAGTGAGTGTCCACCTCCAAATCAACCACTGTGCCTAAAAATACCAGCTTTGCAGCAAAGCTCTCCAAGAGTCATGGAAATGGAGAAGGAGGGCTATCAGAATCATTTGTATTTTGAGGTTAGCTTTGACCTACTGTATAGATCAGATTCTAAGTCAACACGAGTGTTCATGGGGTCCTCCTGCATGCAGGGCTGTGGGAAGAAGCAGCCAGTCTCTGCCTTCAAGGAGATGAGGCTTGACCCCATTTCCCTGAAGTCAACACAATGAGCTCCAGCCTTGGGCCCAATGGGGGTGGGACAAAGAAGAGGGGAGGGTGAGTTAACTAGCCTCCACCCCCACCCCACAGGGCTTCAGAGCCAGTTGGGGAGGAGATCTGTATACAAAAAAATCACTGTTAAAAGTCTGCCCGTAGTAACATCTCTAATAGAAATTCCAACGGCATCTAAACATGCACGCTTCACGAATTTGCACATTTGCTTAGCCTGCCATTTAAATCACTTGGCCTTCCCGGTGCACATGTCAGTAGGCAGTAGGAGAGGCAGCCAGGTGCTCCCCAAGCTGGTGGAGGGTGGGGGGTGGGGATAACCCTGGAGAAACCAGACGGAGGTGAACATAAGGCTGCAGATATTTCACAAAATGGACCATCGGGAGTCAACCCTAAGACCGTCTCTCCCTCGGACTTGGGAGCTTTTCTCATGACCATTCTTTTCTCTTCTTCCGTCTTCGTCCCCTCGGTGTGCCCCCCCCCCCCCCCCAACACTGTCACCTGCTCTCCTGTCTGTCTCTGTCCCTCCCTGCCCGGCTCGTGCCGAGGGCAGGCACCTCTGTCAGCCTCCTCGCCTTGGTAGTTATTGTGTGTGGCGTGGCCCTGGTGGCAGTTTTTCTCTTTCTCTTTTGGAAGCTGTGCTGGATGCCCTGGAGGAACAAGGAGGCCTCCAGTCCCTCTGCTGCTAACCCTCCTTTGGAGGCCCTCCAGAGTCCCAGCTCCAGAGGCAACATGGCGGACAAGCTGAAGGACCCCAGCACCCTGGGCTTCCTGGAGGCCGCCGTGAAGATCAGCCACACGTCTCCAGATATCCCGGCGGAGGTACAAATGTCAGTTAAGGAGCACATCATGCGTCACACCCGGCTGCAGCGACAGACCACAGAGCCAGCATCATCCACCAGGTGAAGGGGCCACCCCTCCTTTTCTAACCCTCACATGGCCCACTTCCTTTTTTTGATGCATTAATGAGATTCCAGCCTGTGAAGATCAGAGACCAGGAATAATAGCATGTGTCCTTTGACTAAAGAATAAATCAAAGGGCGTGGTCCATGCAAGGAAGATGTGGGCGGCAGGAAAGGTGTCACTAAAGGGGAAATGTTAAGGTGGAGTGCTGTGGATGTGGTGTGCACTTGGGATAGGTGTGGATGTGGGGAGAATAAGAGTGGAGTAGCAGGGTGTTGGGAGTTTGAAGAGAAGGGAAAACTTTAGGCAGGGGGGGAAGAGAATATGCAAAGGTCCAGAGGCATGAACATTCATGGTGTGTGAAGACATGTCAGTGAAACCCCATAGCTACAGTCCACAGTGCATGGGAGTAAAAGCAAGAGCCAACATTTTGAGAATGAAGATTCTTTTAAAACCCTCCAGAGCTCCTTGCATGACAGCAATTGTACACAAGACATCCTTTAATTCAAAACAATACCGACAACAGACAGTGATTAAAAATCTACTCTAAATTCAGAAAACACTTTTAAAAGATGTGGTGCATACATGTACAAGAAATTGTATTTACACAAATTTAGTGCTCTGGTGGATTCCTGAGCCCCTGCAATGTCTCTCCATGCTCCCAGGGACCAACCAAAAGAAAAGGGAGTCTGGTCTTCAGACTTGAAGGGCAGGAATGAAAGTGCTAGCAATCACAGGGACAGAGTTTGTCATAGGGCCTCAGGCAAGTTGGCTGCCTTCCCTAAACCTCACTTTCCCCAACTGTAAAATAGGGCTAAGGACTCTTCCAAGTTTGTTGTGAGGTGTCCATTAAAGAATCCATGTGATATTAATGAGAGCTGATACATATATTGATTATTACACCTGGCCCTGTCCTGAGCATTTTATATGTTAATCTATTTCACCCTTACAGCAATCCTAAATGATTGCTACTTTTAATTATCCTTATTTTTATAATGCAGAGAGGTTAAATAACTTGCCCAAAGTCACATAGCTAGAAAAGTAGCAGAGCCAAAATTAACCGATGCAATCTGCCTGTCCTTTTAACCCCTCTGCTGCCTGCTCTATGGTAAATCATAAATGGTGTTGCTGGTGATGAGGATCATGAGGATGAGGAGGAGGAGAGGTCCTAAGGCTGGGTCATGGCTTCATGGAGGAACCACAGTTCTGCCAAGTTAGGAGAGAAACCTAGAAAGCAGAAGACAGAAAAGCAGGGAAAATGATTACGATAACAATGGCTAACGTTCATTGAACTTGCTGTACACCAGGCTCCATTCCAACTGCTTTACATACATTAAGACACGAAATGCTCGCAGCCAACCTTGTGCACAGCGTGTGTGCAGAGGGGAAGTGGGATCGGCAAGAGGAGGAAAGGTGAGCCACAGGGGTAGGATGGGCCAGGGCCAACACAGTTGGGTCTGTCAGAATCCCCTCCTCCTGAGCCCTGACACACTCTTCTGCCCCCTCCGCCAGGCACACGTCCTTCAAGCGCCACCTGCCACGGCAGATGCACGTCTCCAGCGTAGACTATGGCAATGAGCTGCCACCCGCGGCGGAACAGCCCACCAGCATCGGCCGCATCAAGCCTGAGCTCTACAAGCAGAAGTCAGTGGACGGCGACGAAGCCAAGTCCGAGGCCGCCAAGAGCTGTGGGAAGATCAACTTCAGCCTACGTTACGACTACGAGAGTGAGACCCTGATCGTGCGCATCCTGAAGGCCTTTGACCTCCCTGCCAAGGACTTTTGTGGAAGCTCTGACCCTTATGTCAAGATCTACCTCCTGCCTGACCGTAAATGCAAGCTGCAGACCCGGGTGCACCGCAAGACCCTGAACCCCACCTTTGATGAGAACTTCCACTTCCCTGTCCCCTATGAGGAGCTGGCTGACCGTAAGCTGCATCTCAGTGTCTTTGACTTTGACCGCTTTTCCCGCCATGACATGATTGGGGAGGTCATCCTGGACAACCTCTTTGAGGCCTCCGACCTGTCCCGGGAAACCTCCATCTGGAAGGACATCCAGTATGCCACCAGTGTGAGTAGAGCACTGTTCCTTGGCTATTGTGGATTCACAGCTCTGGGTTGGGTGGCGTGGGGGATAGAAGAGCTACCAGGAGGTGGGAAGGGAGGGGAGTTTTTATCTTTTGATTCCGATTGTGTGTTCTGAGATGGTTCTGTCTACTTACGAAGCCTCAGGTTTTCCATTTAGAAAACTGTACACGTCTCCTGGATCAGAGGTAAGAATTGGGCCAGTCCTGTGGACTGAATCACTCAGCAACATCTACTGAGGCTACTGATGTATATTAGAAACTGGGAACAGGCAACCAAGAACAAGTTGTTATCAGTCAGGATGAGCCAGGTTATACAGCGGCAACAAACAATCCCAGGATTTTGTGATTTAAGACGACCAGGGTTTATTTCTCATTCATATTACATGTACTTTGCAGTTTGGCTGGGGGCCCTACCCAGTTTACTCAGGAACCCAAGCCAACCCAGGCTCCATCTCAATGTGTGTTCCCACAGTTAAACATCAGGAGGAAGAGGATATGGCAAATCATGCATTATTCCTTAAGACTTCCATGCAGCTGTGGCATATGTCATTAGCCAAAGCAAGACTTAGAACCCCCTCCCTTTTATTTTTCCACTTTAAACTGTATTGGGGATTGAACCCAGGGGTGCTGTACCTCTGAGCTACATCTAGTCCTTTTCTTATCTTTCTTTTTTTTTTAAATTTGACACCTGATCTCACTAAGTTGCTCAGGGTCTCTATAAATTGCCTGGGCTGCCCTTGAACTTGCAATCCTCCTGCCTCAATCTCCCGAGTCACTGGGATTACAGGCATGTGCCACAGTACCAACCTCATATGGCAACTCTTACTATAAAAATGGTAGGAGCAAAGCAATCGTACTATCTATCTAAGGAACAACACTAATGACTACACACAGCAGTCCCTTGTCTTCAGCATTATCCTCTCAGGGTGGTCTGGGATTAGTTGGCTAATCCACATGTTAGAGTAGACACTGGGCTGTTCACAATCAACTGGAACTGACCAGGGAAGGTCTCAAAAAGTTGAGGTTCAAGTTGGTTTTTAAAAGCACAGAGGACAAACTTGGCACAGAGAACTAGAGAAGGCATACCCAGAGCCCCTACTAGGTGTGGATGGCATATTCTAGTCCGCTGAGCTGATAAGGCTGTGTATCACGTCCTGAGAGTGTAGCTAATACATGCCCCCTGGAGCCCACCTGGGTGGCTGAGAGCAGGTGCATGTTTGCCAAGCTCCCATGGCTTCTATGTAATGTCTTGAGTTCTGCCTGGTTGAGGGTCTCCCTGGATGAGCCATATTTGAGTTAGAGGGCTGACTGTACTCTGTCTGCGGATCCTGCCTTTGGACAGTCCTTTCTCGATATCTTTGTTGAATCTGTAAGGAGGAAGGCTGGGAAAATCAGTCCCTGCTGTCATTGATCAAGGGCACAAATCTTGATTGGTTCTGAGAGATAGGGTGGGGGACTCCACTTCTGCCCCAGGAAGGATGTCTGGGGACATTCTCATAGCCAGGGCTGACTTTGACCAGTCCAACCGAATGTCGCTGTGCATCCCCCATATTAGCTTTACTGAAATGATATCCCACACAAGGAGCCAGACGGACGGGTCGGAAGATGGGGCTGGCTGAACGGCAGCTGTGCGCCTGCCCAGGCCCAGGAGTGACATAAATCACTTTGAAGTCTACATCTGGTGCCGCTCCTCCCTCGTGTCTCCTAAGGTGGCAGCTTCCTTATGGTGACTGGACAGGTGAAGAGTAACTCGATTTTCCCACACTGAGGCTATGTCCAGGGCTGTGAGGTTCAGGGGCTGCAGAGCTGTCTCTGCTCAACCTTCTAAGGAGCCTCCTCTGACCCCTGCCAGAGTCCCCACCTTCTTCTTCCCTGCTCCAGACAGGAGTACCAACTTGGTCCTGGAGTAGGCAGTCCATGCTCAAGCACGGACCTAACTTCCTGCATTCTGGAACCTTGTCACTGTCCCAAACTCACTTCCCTAGCCCAGCTTTAGAAAAAGACAGATCGCCTAAAGGGCACTGGACATAGCTTCACCACCTCATCCTCCCAAGCCAGTGTCATTAGAGACCTCCTCCTGAGACCATCTGAGGTCCTGAGGAGGTGAAGGAGGGGCTGTGATCGAAGGCAGCCTCTTTGACCCGCGGGAATTTAATTATAGACAGGTAACGTGTGTTGGGTAGCTGGCAGAGCAAACCAGCAGATACTGTGCATTGTGTATGGTTCCAAGAGCCCTGGGAGTAATGACAGCCTGGGGAGTTCTCCCAGGTGAGGGAATTATAATCGGTAGAGAAAGATGAGTATAAATAACCTGATAGGCCAAGAAGAAAGGGATGCATTCCAGTCAGGAGCTGAGTCCAGGCCAAGCCATTTGCAGAGCTGCAGAGCCGGGGACCAGGCTCACACGCCTATCTCGCTTGCAGTCTGTCTGAGCTGGAGATTCCTCCTGAGGTGAGTCCCCTGGGCCCTCCCGCCTGCAGCCCCACCAGCATTGTCCTTAGGAATAGGCTCAAACTCTGGCAGGTGAGGACTCCAGCAGAGTTGGGGAAAAGGATACTAATACACTGGTACTTTTACCTGCTTTGTGGTACAGAGTGTGAAAATTTAATTATTTTGGAACCAGGGAGACCCAAGTCACAGTCACTAGGAATTGATGTGAGCCCTAAGTATGTATGAAATCCTGTAGCCAGTGCTGTGGGGGACAGATGGATGCAACAGAAAGTGGGCTCCTATATCTCCTGTGGACCTGATTGTGTCCCTGGAGCTATACTTTGGACCTGAGCTCTGAATGGCAGCTCTTCTGCCTCAGTCAGCCTGGTCCTCAACATGCCCATCATTCCTGCCTCTTGCCTCTTGCTCACAAGGGCGCGGTTAGGCCAACCTATCCCCCATCTGTGTCCAGCCCAAACCATTCCACCTATTAAAGTCTCTCTGTAGTCTCCTGCACTCACCACCTCTCTTATGTATCCTCTGTGTCCCAAGGATGTACCCCCATCATACTCTGTCTTAGAGACCTGAGTCCCTGTGGAGGATTCAGGCATGGCTCTGTCCTATGGTGGCTCTCTCTTGTATGTTCTCTGAGCCTAAGAACTCAGCACACTCTTGTTGAATGACTGATGACTCATTTGGTTCAGTTAAAATGCTGTCCAAGAAGAGGATCAGGAAGAAGCAGCTGGACTCGGGTGGAGTCACCCTGGGGAAGCTTCCTGGAGGAGCGGCTCAGTAGTATTTTGCAAATGGGTAGAGCAAGGCTTGGCAGGGAGGGAACCTGCCTGTGCATCTCTTTAGAGGCACAGGATGGCCCGGGGTGGCAAAGAGACTAGCTAGGTAGAGACTAACCAAAGATCAGGTAATCTGGACCAACACAGAGGACCCACAAGCTGTCCAGGAGAGGCACTGTGAGAATCGGGCCTCAGGAGGCTGCTCTGTGGTTCATGAGTGCCACAAGAGCCAGCTTCAGCCCGGCATGTGGATCCAGGCAGGTTGCTGCCCTAGTACTGGCATTGGTATGAAGTTGCATTGGTCTTGTTTCTGAACATTTTTGAGCATCAAGGCTAGGGACGGGGAAGTAACCATGTGAGGAGTCGTCTAGGTCTTTGTTAATTGCAGATCTGAAGCCACAAGGGAGGAACCCTGGCCTCCTCACCTTCAGGCTGTTCTGGAGGGAAGCCCAGGCAGCCTAGCACTTAATTAATATACAGCACCCGCCAGCGGGTGAGAAGCAGGCAAGCAGGTCTGCTGGTGCGATCGGATTGGAGGCCTGTGGTCTTCCACTGAATCAAGACGCTCATCTTAAGAAGGAAATAAGTGAATCCATGGCGCTCGTTCCAGCCCTGTGCAGGGTTGCCCTGAAGCTGCCGCACTCTCTCCTGCCTGGTGGTGTGACCTGGACATTTCCAGAAAGGTGCCATGTCTCTTCAACCAGAGCCTTGACTGGCTAACATCACCCTGCTCTTCCCCTCCCCCACCACTTCTGCCCCCATCTCATTATTTCTATATAAAGCTGCAGATTTATCATTATAATAGAGCTGCCGTCACTGGGATTTGCTAACATCTCTGTAATCTTGTAGTTATTGCTACAGAGGCCTCAGACCCCAATGCACACAACTATTCCTGTCGCTGTTCCTGCGACTTCACTGCGGCAGGAGGTGAAGGCTGTAATTGGTGCCATAAATATGTGTTGTGCTTGGTGGTGCTAATGGACTCGGCCAGCTTCCTGCCTTGCCATGCCCCCCACCCCAGGTTAGAAGGTTCATGAGTGTGTGCACATGTGTGTGTGTGTGTGTGTGTGTGTGTGTGTGTATGTGTGTAGGGTAGGGGTTGGTGGGCGTGGCAAAGCACTCTGTATACTTCCTGAGAGTCTAGACTCAGGGTCTGTAGGGAGGAAGAGAAGCCTTGGGTGGTGAAATAGCTTCTGGTCTGGGAATGAGCAGAACAGTGCAGAAAGAGCCCAGTCTTTGGTGCCAGACACATCTGCCCTGCATTCTAGCTTTTATGTTGTCTATGTTTGAGACCCCGGGACATTATCTGAACTGTGCCTCAGTTTCAGCATCAATGAAATGGAGATGATAATGGTATCGAGTCCAGTGGTATTATAGGGGGTACATAAAATGTAATATACAATCCACCTGGGGTGACCAGGGGGCCGGCTGAGCCCTCTTCTCCTAATGCTTTCCTGCTGGCTCAGCCTGTGGGTCCCTTCCCTACCACTCTCAGGCCTGACTTTCCATGTCAGTTCAGACCACCTGGTTGTTAGATAGTATCTCGGTAGTCACCCCTTATGCAAAGGGGTACATTTGGAGATCTCCAATGGATGCCTGAAACCTTGGAGAGTATGCAACACTATATATACTTTGTTTTTCCCCCTGTAAATATATATACCTATGAGAAAGTTAAATTTACAAATTAGGCACAGGACTCTTAATAACAATGATAAAATAGAACAATAACAATATACTGTGATAAAATCAACAGCATCAGTACT